TTTTCGAATGTATGCTAGAGGAAGAGTTGTAACTTTTTAACTGAGTTGTGTTGCTAATGTTAAAATAGAATAGTTTTTTTTTATTTTGATGTAAGTACTGATATCCTGCTTCTAATGATTTATTCTTTCTCCATCATGAAAGAAATACTATTCTTTAAAAGTTCAGATTATACAGAAAAATAGAAAAATGCATCCCTACCACTGACACTTGCATTTAGTGTATTTATTTCTGTATAATACTTATGTTTAAGACATTTTTAAGTGAAATAGAAAATAACATGAGATAGGTTATTTTCTGTGCTTTGAAGAGACTTTGGAACTGACAAACCAATGACTTCTCTACTTCTGTTTATCTTCCTATGTTAGTTTGACTAAACTTTAAATCTTTGACTAAGATCATAAATTTTCGTTTAAATCAGAATATACTGGTCTAAAGTAAATTGACAAGAATTGCATATTTTTCAGTTTTTAAAAGTAATTATTCCAGAAAAAATTTACTGTTTGTTTTATTCCCCTTTAAAACTGCCTAAAACATGGTAGAAACAAAATCTTCAGTGAGAAGGAAAATTTTATCCATTTAACTTCGAAGAATTGTGGTTATTTAGCATTAACAGCACATGTACTATTGTGTTTGCAGTCTCACTTGCAGAAAATAAATGCAGAAATTAGCGGAGTTAAAGTGTCTGGATAGGGCCAGAGATTTTAGAAAGGCATTTTATGATCCTTCCTTTGATTCATAGACAGTTTATGGAGAGCCTACTTTGTGCCAGGCCCTGTAAATGCAAAGCAGAATAAGACATGACCCTTGTCTTCAGGATTCTCACAGCCTAGTTAATGGACCTAAATAGAGAATCCTAGGGATTGACACCACACCCTTGTGTGTGCAAAGCAAAAATCACTAATGGAGAAGACTTCCATTTGGTAGAGATTAAGATTATTGAAGGAAGCTGCCTAAAGCCCAGGAATCTCAGTGTATCTTAAGGTTTTGGTGTTATAATTAGAGGATATTTTATATAACACGTATATAATGCAGCAAGACAAAACTCACTGAGTGTGGTTGTTCCAGTATTTGAAAAAGAAGGAAAGGGAGATTTAAATAATGAGAGAGGCAGGAATAAATGGAGATTGGCTTCTTATTTCTGTTACAAATCTAAGTAGAAAGAAAATACCTTTGTTCTTTTTCGTATGCAAATGAAAATTTCCCATTTATGTCTCATACCCTGGATCTTTATGCACATGTATTAGCTTTGTAATGAGGAATTTTTGCACTAGTGATATGTCTTTCTCAATGTAGTCTTTCTGAGATTTAGTTTCGCTTAATTTCCATCCTGTTGAATCATCACTGCCTTTTCATTGTGTTTATCCATGCAGACTTACTCACATAAATTGAGATAAACATTGATTTTTGAAGTCCCACTAAAGAAATAAAAATTTCTAAGTGGTTTAGTCAGTGCGCTCCTGGTTCGCAACGTGGGGCAGCGTACTTAACTATGGTTACATTGCTGAGACCCTTTTACATGAGGCGGTAGTTTCAATCTTATATTCAAAAAGCATTAAATAAGTTTAGGCTAACCAGTTTTTCATTTTATAGAAATGATATTTTCCTATTTTTAAATAGTAATAAAAATAAGGATCTATATGGCATTCAGACTTACAGGTATTTTGATGATTTTAAAATTATTTTTTCCTATGTAGGACACCATTGCAGTGGCTGGATTTGTTGTTTTGACAGCATCTGCATCTACAAGCAGAGATAGTAAACATTGCTTATTTTTGAAAGCATCTGAAGACTTCAGATCAACTGTTTATGTAAGTATGTAACTTTTAGTCTCTAACTATATTGTGGTTTTAATGAGCTAAAGTGATGGAATCAAAGTAGTAGTTCTGTAAATCAGCAGATAAACTCTTGAGTCTGACTGAATTATTTTAATTGAATATTTTAAGTTTAAAAAAATAGAAATCCTTTCCTTGCCTTTGTATTTAAAATGAATCCAAGTAGAAGAGAAAGATCCTCTAAAGACAGTTGTTTGTTAAATTTTTAAACTTTACGGACACTCTTGATCTTACTCTTTGCAGTTATACCATCAGCCTCTTTTGATGGTCAGCTTGATTTTACCTTAAATTGATCAAAGTCCCCTCTTTAGATAAAACTGATTTCCTCCTATTTCATTCTTATGAAGGTGTCCATCCTGTTCCTCTCTTCACCACCCTCTCCCTCAGTACATCTTTAGAGACTACCTGTTTGGTCAAGGCTGTCAGGTAGAGAAGTAGAGTTGCCCACAGACCAGCATCTGCCTGGTTTTTGGTTTTTTTCTTTGTTTTGGGTGTTTTTTTTTTTTTTTCAGTCTATACAGGGTATTATATTGGCCAGAAGTGATCCTATGATATTAAAATTAATGATTTAAACTGAAGCTTAGCCTAGACAACTTTGTATGTGTTACTCTTAATTTAATTTGTAAGCCATAACTTTATACTATTCTGGTGAATTTGATTATTATACAGTTAAGTGTATAGTTTTATACAATTAAAGCTCTATCATCACATTGGACATTATTTATATACAAATAAACCCTCTCTTTTTTTTTCAGGTTTATGTTAAATGCGTCAGAGATTTTTCTACTGAATCAATGTCTTTGGTAAGAAGATAGTCATTTTAATTTAGAAATGTACACTCCCCCACACACATACACACATATATATGCATGTATATATTTGATCCACTTTGTAAGATTTCTGAGCAAGCCCTGCCTCTATTGTGTTTGACCTGAGGGATCAGCTGCCTTGGAAAAAAATCAGTGAATTCATTCTAATGTGGTTTTTAAATTTTTAACTCTTAGTATGATAGGTAACTTTATTTCCAATTGGGAGTGAAATGGGTGGGTGATGGGACCAGATGTCTGAACCCTTTTCAGAATTGTTTGACTAATATGCAGACATATCCTTGTAAATCACTTCCCCTCTGTTTTCCAAACATATGTACAGTTATTTCAGAATTTTTTTCTTTTATTACCATTTTTAATGTCTTTATATCATTTATAATCAAAACCTAAGTTTATTTAGGTCTTAGTAAAAATCTTCATAGCAAAATAGAAAAAAAATATATATATATGCCACAAGTTTTGAAGTGATATTAGTTAAGGTTAAAAACCAGGGTGAAAATCTCTTAAACTGTATTTTTAGAGTTGTTTACAAATTACACCATTTATAATCAAAGTTACTTATAAGAAAAGCTAGTTGGTTTATATAGTAACCTTTGTAAGCTGTGCATTTCCTTTTTTTCAGACAAGCTCTTTTTAGACACTTAAAAGGAAAAGCTGCAGGTGGACTTTCTAACTTACATGTTTGATCATAACATGATTCTAAAGTCTAAATACTTAATAGTGATATATTCACTGTCTTTCTCTAGATTCAAGCAACACATTATGTATATACACCCCTGAATCAACTCAAGAGTGGCATGATTGTCAATGTCTATGGTGTTGTGAAGTTCTTTAAGCCTCCATATCTAAGCAAAGGAACTGGTAAGTATTAAAATTGGTCAGGATTTTAATGGACTGGAACTGCTGTATTGGTTTCAGGAACACAGCTCCTTCAGTACCGTCTTAGAAGCTCAATTCTGGTTTATAATTGCCAAACAATATTGATACAAATTTTTTTGCCATTTTTATTTACAAAATAAATATGAACATGGTTTTTAGATTCTAAAGAAAAAATAAAGAAAAGAATGCTAAATAGCAACATGACAGCATGTGAAAGTATAAAATAAGCTAGAAAAGGTAAATTTATAGACAAGTACGGAATACTGTAATAGCACAATGACATTATGTAGGTCATTGTAATTCTGGTATAGAAATTAAAAGACAAAGGTATAAAGCTATCTATAAACATACGTTAGTGGGTACATAATATAGAAAGATATAAATTGTGGCGTCAGTAACAAAGTATGTGTAGGGGGCAGCAAAAATGTAGAGCTTTGGTATGTGATAGATGTTTATTTTTTATCAGCTTAAGAAAGTTACAACTGTAAGGTGTTTTATGTAAACTTTGTGGTAATCAAAAAGAAAGTACCTACGGGTGATACACAAAAGAAAATGAGAAAGGAGTCAGAATATGTCATGACAGAAAAAAAAAATCAGTGAAACACAATGGAGGACTGTAAGGAAACATGGGACAAAAGAGCTACAAGACAGACAGGAAACAATTAAGAAAATGTCAATAATAAGTTCTTCCCTATTGGTAATTACTTTAAATGTAAAATGCTTAAACACCCCGGTCAAAAGACATAGTACTTGGGTTTTTTTAAAGATAATTAAGAAGGTATAACCTATATAATAATGTAAGCTTTTAAACAGACTAATGTGTAAAAGAGTGAATCAGAAAACATGAATTTCAGTTTTCTGAGCGTTAATATAGTTAACAGACAACACACTTTGACCTTGGTTTAATTCAGTCCGTTTAGATTTAACATGTATTACTCTTCTAATTTGAAACAACATCGTTTGTAAAAGGCATCATTGTTTTATCTGTCATTAAGAAAAGAAAAGCGATGCTTCACTGTTAATTGTAAGGTGTGAAAAATCTGAAACAGTGGTGTTGTTGATGAAATAGTCTTTACTACATGCCAGCTGCTGTGGCTCATGCTGGGAACACAAAAATATTCTCCTTGAGTTAATATTTTTTCAAGATTTTATTTATTGAACTATACATATGCAATTTCATTGTGGCATAAGCTCAAAGTGTACTCTTTGATGGGATGGTTAGAGGAAAAATCTTATTTTTATGTGGTCAGAAGACTTTGTTAATGTGCAAAGTCAAGACTTAGTTTATGTGAAAATGACCATGTGAAGACTGTTAAATCTAGAGATGAGAATAGTTTGAAACAGGTGGCACCTAAGTCAGAAGATGACAAAGGGATGTTTTATTGAAAAGCCCTGATTTCTGTTATTTTAGCAGGAATGGAAAAATTAAACAGTAAGTTTGAAGCAGAGAAATTTTTGTTTACATATGAATTTCTCAAATATTTTCATTCAACTTTACTTTGTTCCAAAGTCTACATTCCATACCACAGCATACCATTCAGCATACATTTGCATATTTTCACCTTAATAGTTTCTTCTCAAGGTCATATTTTTTCCCCCTAAATCTTTCATTGCCCATTCTGAGAATTGGCTATGAAGGTCTAATCACTGTGATCCTCTTCAAGTTCAAGTGTTATCTGTCCTTTCATTGGCTTGCCACATTCAGGAATAAGCTACATTATTGATAATAATGTCCATCTAACTTGGTGGAATATATAATTTTAAAGCTTTTTTGCACTTGATATGTTGCAAATTCTTACTGTTGAAAGTTTTCAGTAAATTAATCAGCAAATACACAATTTTCAAAAATAACGTGGAATGATAGTATTATAACATAAAATGATAGCTGTGTTTAAAACATTGATGACTCAATATTAGTTTTAAGTTGACATTAGACAGTGTAATCATTTTCTTCTGACAGTGTTATTAAATCATATATATGATGAAAGCATGGGGGAACTATAATAGTTATTATATATTCATATGCATCTATCAGATATGTTTAGTTAGATCCAGTTTCTTAATAAAAAATTCATGAGTTGTAATAAGCCAACTTTTATTACAAAGATAATATGTTTCTCTATTTCTTCTGAGATACTAAATTAAAATGAATGTCATCAATTTCATCTGAGCATATTCATTGAAACTCTAAAATATGTCTTAAGATAGAGCAAGATCTCTTTACTGCTAGCAAGATGGTAACATTTTAAAGCTATCTGTCTTATAATTTTAGTTACATTTAACGTTTTTATTTCTGTTGATAGAGCTCATCGTTTAGCATGCTGCAGGAGAGTCAGGCAAATAGCACTGATTTTTGTGTTCAGGAAAAGATCAATTTCATTAGTATTACCTCTAAGAAGCACTGGAATAAATGTACAGGAGCAATCCACAGCTGTGCCTTTACATAAAGCAACATTATTTCAGAAATACAGACCACAACCTAAATGTTACATCTTGATGTACATAATAGTCATGTGGAGGAAAATTACCTTTATGCAACTCAAATTTAGGTAGATGGAAAAGAAATTTCTTCTGCTATATATCATTAGCTAGAATTTTTCATTAAAATTCATTTTATAAATGTTAAATTCAGTGCAATAGAGGCAGTTTGGTGCAATTTAGTATCTTTACTTCTTGACTAAAATTTCTCTTGAAGACTGCTTCTCATCCTCAGTAACAGTGATTACACATGACCTGAGCATACTGCTGTCTTATTTCTGTAGCAAATGCTTTATTTCCCAAGCTTTATAGTTAATTTTGGAGGAATTGTAGCTTTTATTCTTGGAGAAGTCTGTTAGTCCTGTTATTAAAAGGACTAAAGATACTCACATTCTTGTTTATTTGTGATGAGATTCATCATGAAAACAGCCATTCTCAAAGGTTAGGGAGAGAACGTATATTAAAAGATCATTGTATATCAAAATTGATTTTGTTAATGACTCATCAGGGTACATAATATAGCATCTTTCATATAGGAAGGAAAGCTTATTGCCAGTTTCTTCAGATTTTGAGATTTTATTGCTATTATCTTTGAAAGCTTCACATTTACTTTTGCTTTGGAGAGCTGGCTAGATACAGCTAGGTTTTCTGCCTTGCATAGTTAACATTGGGCAGATTTTTTTAGATCACACTTATAAAGGTTTAGATCACACATAGTTTTAACTTTGCCTCAGATTTTAAGAAATAGCTTAGTGTATTTTTAGACTTCTACTCTGTTCTTGCTAAATAAGGTAGATGGAGGCAGGCCATAAAACATTTCCATCCAGACTTGTTAATAGCATAGGGTCATGCTTACTTGTTTAATATCATAATGCCTGCTCACTCTAAGCAAGTGGGACGAGTGCGGGGAACCTGGCTTGTGCCTACTCTCCTAATATTTGAGTCCAGAGGAAGGGAGAGAGAATAGTCAAAGTATCTGCATCTTCAGTTTTTACTACTCACCTCTCCTTTTGTTGTTGTTGTTGTTCTTTCCCCAGATTTTGAGGCCCTAGAAGTCCCAGCCTTTTGTGCCACATAATATGGCACATGACTGGTTCCTTCCCCAACTTTCCTCCGGAATGCATTACCATGCTAGATTATTTTCGTACTTCACCTCCCTTCAGAATTTCTCCATTTTAGAAAAAGCAGCTTGGTTAAACTGAGCAGTTTTTTGTATGTTACAGTGTTTCTAGAAGCAGGCTTTTTCTCTTGCTC